AATGTTAATCGAATGAAATAGGGCGTGGATTGTGAACAGAATGGATAACTACTAAGAAACATAAATGGGTGATTGTAGGTACATTGAAAGATAGAAATGATATACGTTGTATCGTGAAAGAAAGTACTTGCCTTTGAATACTTCGCTTCTTCCAAATAGGTATAACTATGACAATTATATAAAAGATAATATGGGGTAGGAACCACCAATACCATAAGCTAACTAACAGAAAATAGCATTTGCTACTTAATTATCGAACAGCCAATTAAATTATGATGTCAGTGAATGTATGAATTTTTAAGTTTGCAGTTAATAACTGATTGCTCCGGGCATGAATTTGTAACAGAAATGGAAACCACGAGGGTAAGTATCATGATTTAACTATTAACTTATCGTACCACTGATTGATCGAATTTTGTATTGGAGTAGATAGCTTGAGGCTACAATTTTCAATAAATTTCAACTTCTTTCAAATTCTGTAATAACGATTTGGTAATTCTTGTACAGTTTAATTTATCAAAGACGAATGCGTAATCTGAATTATTCTAGCATCCCCGGTCTCCAAAGAAGTGTGCGTATTTCCAAAGGTAGACAAAATGGACTTTAGGAGGTTCATTCTTGTTTCACAAGACAGATGAGAGTATCCCGAGGTAATGAATGCCTCTAATTAAAGTTACTTTTGCTACTGAATAATTATAACCAGTTTTCAGTGCTTAAAGGTGACCCATCGAGAATTCTTCGTACGAATAATTTTGGATATTTATAGAAAGATTATAATATGACCCGAGCTTGCTTCCCTGTAAAGTATTCTTCAGGTTTTTCTAAAGAAGAAGCTATCCACAAACAATATTAGCATGATATTCAATATTGATAGGACATGAAAACATATACACGCAAACCGAAAGACAAACAAATGGAGTTATTCATTTTGTATGAACTATTGAATTTATTGTTAAAAATACACTGATATCGCGAATAACAATTTGCCAGAATAATAAATTTACAATAAAGGTAGAATAAGGTAACAAAATGTCGACTATCATAGAGAAAAAGTAATTATGTAAGAAATCGACAAAATTCAGAAATTTTCGGCCGATTTCGGAAACCGGTGGGGTGTCACACATGGTCATATATGAAGGGCACCTTGCGAATGATCGCTCCGCTTCCGGCTGGAGCTCGGACGGGAAATTTCGTGGTCTGGACCAGGCGCTTCCGGGTCTTCGCCAGCGGGACCTTGGCGACCATCCCGAGCGTCAGACGTGAGCAGCAGGCTTTGGCAGGTGGGATATTGTAAATCGATTCTAATACCATCTTTTTCCGTTTCTATCTTCTTTTTACTATTTAAATATTTCGTTGCTGTCTTTAATATGTCTCATCGTTCCCCTTACTAGTCAGTTCTTTTCCAGGACTAATCTACATATTTCCTTCATAGGTTTACTATCTGAATTATTTGGTTTGAACTCAAGTTCATTTGTCGTTTTGACTTTTTGCTGGTAACTTTCAAGAACTCGAAGAAGGGGTCGGTTGGAGTTGGCGTTAGATTGCGGTGGTGGTGAGGTGGAGTTTGATCGTGTTCATCCAATAGATCATCGGACTAGCCGATGGCCATTGTCCACTCCACATATGGACCATCCCCCACACACGCATAAATTAATAATAAACATTTCTTTCAAAATCTACATATTTTTATTACCGAATTCTTCCATCGTTGGTATGTTATCTTGAATTCGGTTTTATTTCGTCGATGGGTTGTTTCTGTCTCATCAATGGATTGTTCCTCAAATTTGGTCAACCTTTACGGTTTTCTTCTTTTCGTTTTTATTTTGTTTCCCTTACCAATCCGTTTCCTTCCTGGCTTGAACATTTTCTCTTCAGGTATTCAAGTTCTTCAAGTTGTCCAGAATATTGTTCAGAAGATATCGTTGGACGACGGAGGATGCGAGCTCTTAGACCTGAGTATTTCTAAATAGAAGCAAGATTGATTACTAGGTTAAACTCACGTGAGCGTTACTTGTACAAGGGTAAGCTGCCTGACTTGGAGCGAGCATATCCACGGTATATGCCTTCTCGTTTACCAAATAGAACGAAATTGTTCTGGTGATAGTCGCGATTGTCCTTAAGTACCATCTAGCCTACGCAACGTACCCACGTGTGCTCGATAACTCCATGCTTCATAAGTCATCGCCACGACTCGTCTCCGACACTCGTTCCAGCCACGGTAAACCTCGCCATGCATCGGGTTCCAGGATAATCCTCGAGTCACTGTATCTTCTGGTGTCAATGCGAAGTTCCAGCAGCCCTGGCCGTACGCGACTCGGGTACAGGACTGCAGTCGGACCGGAATGTGTCTACGCTAATTCTACATGGATGATTCAGTTCTACTCCGTGTGGCAGGGACGCGTAACGTCTGTCCGACATGTAAGGCCTCGCTGGACAATCGTCGCGACTCTAGGAGCTTCTTTGGTTCGGGGACTAACTTGGCAGGAGAAACACCTTCGACCTCCTCGAACTCCGCGGCATCCATGTCACCACGGACTACCTCGACATCCTTGACGTCCTAGACATCCTCGTCATCGTCGACATCACCGGCATCCTTGACATCCTCGACGTCACCGGCATCCGCGCAATCCACGACACCTCCGAGATCCGCGATATCATCGCCGTACTCGACATCATCGAAGTCCTCGACAACCGCGACATACGCGTGACGGACATCATCAAAATCGAAAATGGTAGCAAGGGCGACACCAACATCGACATAGATATCGAAACCGACATTGATAGCAATGTCCAGTACATCATCGGCATCGACGTTGATATCAACCGCACCAGCAACGTCGACATTGTTATCGATATTAATATCAATAAGAATATAAACATCATTACCAATATCCTCAATATCCATAATGTCGACGTCGACATAGACATCGACATGGGCATATGCATCGGTATGACGAGCAATATCACAGTGAACATAGCCTACACCATCGACATCGTCATTGATAGGAACAGAAACAGCAACACCGGCATCGATATCGATATTAACACCAATGTGAATATAAACGTCAATACCAGCAACATCAGCATCATCAATATCGACACCTTCATCGACCCCGACATGGGCATAGATATCGATATCAATAGCAATATCTCTATCAACATACTCAACATCATCAAAATCAACATTGATAGCAACAGCGGAAACAAAGTCGACATCGGTTTCGATATTAACATTAGTGTGAACATAAATATCAATACCAACATCCTCAGTAATATCAACATCGACATCGACATCGACATCGACATCGACATCAACATCGACATCACCATCGATATGAGTATCAATATCAGCATCCTCAACATCATTAATATCGGGAATGACGTCAAAAGCAACAGCAGCATCGACAGACTGAACACCTTCTGCATCATCAGTATCGAGAGCAACAGTAACGTCGATATCGGTATCAATACTAATATGAATATAAGTAGCAATATCAGCATCATCAGCATTGACGCTGACAATGATATTGATAACAACATCGATATCGAAGGCAATATTAGCACCGATATCGACAATATCATCTTCAATATAGGTGTCAGCATCACCAATATTATGAATACCCACGTCGTCATCGTCATCGACGTAGACGTTGACATCAACTGCAACTCCATATCGGCAGCAACATTGACATCGCAGATACATCTATATATGTATAACCTCATTACCAATACCAACAATATCAATATCGACACCGACATCTACAATAGCTGCAACAGCACAACCTCGACACACGCGACATCCTGAACGTCACCCACATCCGAGACACCGGCGACATCCTCGACACCCGCGACATTTTCGACATCCGAGCCAACACGAACGACAACATAAACGCCCTGGACATATTCCACGGCTTCAAAATTCTCAGCATAATCGAGGACACTGCCGACGTCCTCGACATCCTCTACATACGCGACATCCTTGAAATCCGTGACATCCTCGAAACCCGCTACAAACTCGACATATTCGGCATCCCCGCCATCCTCGACATCCTCGTCATCATCGACATCCTCGTCATCATGGACATCCGCAAAGTCGCCGACATCCTCAACATCCTCGTCATCGTTGGCATCACCGACATCGGCCACGCCCTCGACATTTTCGACATCCGCGGCATGCGCGGCATCGCCGACATTCACGACATCCTCGACATGTGCGACTAGGTTGACACCACCGAGATGCTCGTCAGGCTTGACGACCATGACATTCGCGACACCCTCTATATCCGTAACATCCGTGACATTCCCGACGTCCTCGACAACCACGACATCATCCACGGCACCATTGACATCCGCAACAGCCTTGATATCTGAGGCATCATCGACATCCGCGACATCCTCGACATACGCAACATAACCGTTATCCGCGACATCATCGCCATCCTCGCCATCCTCGACATCGCCGATATCCTGCACACGAGAGGCTGCATCCACGACAACACGAACATCCTCGATAACCTCATCGGTCTCAACAATCCCAACGTCGTCATTATAGACATCGACAGCAATAGCAATCGCAACAACGACATCGACATCGAGAGCAACAGCGACACCGATATCGGCATCGATATTTATATCACTAGCATTGGTGAACATAAATATCGATATGAACATCCTCGACATCAACAATATCGACACAAATGCTCCCAATGATACCAATACTAACATAGACGTCGACATCGCCAACGACATTAACTTCAACATGAACAGCAACAGCAACGGAGAAATCGACAACATCGTCATAAACGCTTAGGTCAGTATAAACATTAATATCAACCTCCTCAACAATATCAATATCAATGTCGAATTCAACACTGCCAGCAGCATCAACTTTGACATATATACCGATATCAAATCGATATTATTATCAATATGAACATAAACATCTATACCGACATCCAATGCATCGCCAATAATGACATCGACATGGCATATATATCGATATGAATATAAATACAACTATCAGCATTCAGAACGTCATCAAATTAGACAGTGATATCTACAGCACCAGCAATATCGACATCGATATCGATATTAATACCAATATGAAGATAACCATCAATACCAGTATCCTCAACAACATCAATGTCGACATCGACATCGACATCGACATCGACGTGCGCATTGCCATAGGTATTGATATCAACAGCAATATCACTATCAACATACGCAACGTCGTCAACATCGATAATGATAACGACAGCAGCAGCAACATCGGCATCGATATCGATATTAATATCAGTGTGAATATAAACATCAATACCAACATACTCAGCACAATCAATATCGACATCGACGTTGATACCAACATCAACATCATCATTGATATCAGTATCAGTATCAGCATACTCAACATCACTAATATCGAGAATGGCAGCAACAGCAACAGCAACGTCAACAACCTCAACTCCTTCTATATCATCAATATCGAGAGCAACAGTAACTTCGACATCGATAATCAGATTAATATCAATATATGTAGCAATATCAACATCACCCACTTCGACCTTAACATGGATATCAATAACAACATCAATATTGATGGCAATCTTAACGTCGATATCGACAGCAACATCATCAATACCGATATCAACATCCCCAATATTATCAATACACACATCGCCATCGTCATCGACGTAGACGTTGATATCAACCACAACAGTGTATCGACAGCAACATTGTCATCGACGAAGAAATCGGTATAACTATAAACATCAATACCAATATCAACATCACCGATATCGACACCGATATCTACAATAGCCGCGACAGCACACCATCGACACACGCGATATCCTCTACACACCGATAACAGCATATCGACAGCAACATCGACATCGACAACGATATCGATATAAATATAAATTTCAATATCAGTATCAACATCATCAATATCGAGATAGGTATCAACAGTAGCAGCAACAGCATAACCTCAAATTCCACGACATCCGCGACATCCTCAACATACTTGACATCCCCGACATCCTTGACATCCGCGACAACCTCGACCTCCTCAACATCCGCGACATCCTCGTCATCCTCTACATACGCGACACGCTCGACAACCTTGACATCCTCGACATCCGCGTCATCGACGACATCCACGACATCCTCGACATCCGCGACATCCTCGACAACCGCGACATACGCGACATCACCGACATGCGGGACTTCCACGAATTCCTCGATATCCGAGGCAACATCAACAGCAACATAAACATTCTTGACATACTAGACGGTCTCAACATTCCCAACATCATGAATATCGACATTAATATCAACAGCAAGATCGACATTGACGTAGAAGTCGATATTAGTATCAATGTGAATATAAGCAACAATACAAATATCTTCAACACCGTCAATATCGACATCGACATCCGCATCTATACCAGTGTCAATACCAACACCCTCAACATCACTAATATCGAGAACGACAGCAGCAGCAACGGCAACATCAACATCCTGAACATCTTCTTTGTCATAAGTATCGACAGAAACAGTAACGTCGATAACTATATCCGTATTAATATCAATATAAGTGGCAATATCAACATCATCAACATCTACGTTGACGTTGATATAAGAAACAACGTCCATATCGGTGGTAACATTAACATCAACATCGACACTATCATCATCTGCTCTGGTATCAACATGCCCAATATTACTAGTACCCGCATTGTCATCATCCACGTAGACATTGACGTCAGCTACAACAGCACTTCGAGTGCACCATTGACATTGACAAAGATATCGATATAAATATAAATATTTATATCAATTTCAACATCATGTATACGGGCACCGATGTCTGCAACAGCAGCAACAGCTCATAGTCGATACCCGCTGTTTCCTCGACATCGCCGACGAAAGCGACTTCGTCGGCATTCTCGACATTCGGGACAAACCTGACATCATCGACTTCCTCTATATCCTCTACATCCATGGCATCCGCGAAGTACGCGACATCCGCGACATGCGCGACATGCGCGACAACTTCGACATCCGCGACGGCCGCGACATCATCGACAACCTCGATATCCTCTACATCAACGGCACCACAGGAATCCGCGGCATCCTCGACATCAGGGACTCCCGCGACATATGGTGCAACAACAACAACAAAAACATCCTCTACATACTCAACGGCCTCAACATTCTGAACATCATCAACAACGACATTGACTGCAGCAGCAGCAGTAGCATCGACATCGATATCGATATTGATATCAATGTGAATATAAACATAAATACCAACATCCTCATCGTCTCCAACATCGACATTGTCGTCGACATCAACATCGACAACCCCATCGACATCAGTATCACAATCAACATCCTCAACATCATTAATATCGAGAACGGCAGCTACAGCAACAGCAACAACAACATCCTCAGCATCCTCTGTACCATCAATATCGACAGCAACAGTAACGCCAATATCGATATCAGCATTAATATTCACATAAGTAGCAATATCATCCTCATCCACATCGACATTGACATTGATATCTATAACGACATCAATATCGGTGGCAATATTGACATCGACTTCGACATTAAAATCATCAATATCGGTATCGACATCCCTAATATTATCAATACCCACATCGTCATCGTCATTGACGTAGACATTGCAACAGGTACAACAGCATATCGACAGCAAGATTGACATCGATGAAGATATGGATGTAAATAAGAACATCTATATCAATATCAACATCTCGAATATCGACACCGATGTCTGCAATAACAGCAACTGGACATCCTCGACACCCTCGACAACACCGACATCAGCGACACAGCCGACGTCCTCGACAACCGCGACACATTCGACATCCTCGACATCCGCGGGATCGTCGACATCCTCGACATCCTCGACATCATTCAAATACGCGAAATCCCCGACATCCGCAACATTCGCGACCTCCTCGATATCCACGACGTGCTCGATATCCTCGACATTCGCGACATCCTTGGCATCTGCGACAACATTGTCATCCGCGACATCACCACATCCACGATATCCTCGACGTCCTCGACATCATCGGCATCTTGGTGATCCGTAACATCCTTAAAATCCGAGACATCGCCGACAACCTTGACAATCGCGACATCCTTGCCAACCGTGGCATTCTCGACGCGCTACTTACCCAACATCCTCTACAACCGCAACATCCGCGAAATCGCCGACATTCTCGGCATCCACGACAACCTTGACATCCGTGACATACTCGACATCCGCGACATATTCGACATCACCGACATCTGCAACACCGTTGGCATCACAAACATCACCGACATCCTTGACATTCTCGACATCCGCGGCATCCTCGACATACTTGATATCACCGACATCCTTGACATCCTCGACATCACCGACATATTCGATATCCGCGACATCCGCGACACCACCGACATCCTCGACATCATCGACATCCGCGACATCACCGACATCCGCGACATACTCGACATCCGCGACATCCTCGACATCCTCGACATCCCCGACATCCACGACATCTCCGACATCACCGACATCCCAGACATCCTCGACATCACCAGCATCCGCGCAATCCACGACATATTCGAGATCCGCGATATCATCGACGTCCTCGACATAATCGACATCCTCAACGTCCTCGACAACCGCGACATCCGCGACATCACCGACATGGGCGACTTCCCTGGCACCTGCGACATCCTCGACGTCTACGAATTCCTCGATATCCGAGGGTACATCAGCAACAACATAAACATTCTTGACATACTAAACGGTCTCAACATTCCCAACATCATGAATATCGGCATTAATATCAACAGCAGTAACGACGTCGACGTAGATGTCGATATTAACACCAATGTGAATATAAACATCAATACCAACATCCTTAGCATCATCAATATCAACACCGACATCGACATCAACACCGACATCATCATCGATATCAGTACCAATATCAGTATTCTCAAGATCCTTAATATCGAGAATGACAGCTACAGCAACGGCAACATCATCATCCTCGACATCCTCGGCATCTCCGGCACGCTCGACACAACCGATATCCGCCACATAACCGGCAACCTTGAAATACGCAATATCCTCGGTATCCTAGGCAACATCTTCTTCAACATAAACATCCTCGGTACTCTCATAGGTCTCAACATTCTCAGAATCATCAATGTAGATATCGACAGCGATAGCGGACGCAACAACGCCGTCGACATTGACAAAACCAGCGACACTGATATCGACATCGGTATTTGCATCACTATCAATTGTGAAAATAAATATCGATATCAGCATGCTCTACATCAACAATATCGACGTAAATGTTCCCAATAATATCAATAGTATCATTGACGTCGTCATCGCCAACGACATTAACATAAACGTGAACAGCAATAGCAACAGAGAAATCGACAACAGTATCGATATCGATATAAACATCAATGTGAATATGAACATAAGTATCAACATCGTCAACGACATCAATATCGACGCCGACTTCAAAATCGACGACAACATCAGCATTGTCATATACATCGATATCGATGTCGATATTAATATCAATCTGAATATAGAGGTCAATACCTAGATTAACAAAATCGCCAATAACGACATCGTCATCGGCATAGATATCGATATGGGTATAAATATTACTATCAACATCCTGAACACCAACAACATCGACAAGGGTACCAACAGCAACAGCTACATCGACATCGATATCAAAATCGATGTTGGTAGCAATGTCCTGAACACCATAAATATCGACCCTGACATCAACGGCGTCAGCAACATCGACATCGATATCGTCATAAATATCAATATGAATATAAACATCAATACCAATATCTTCAACACCATCAATATCGACATCGACATCGAAATGCTCATTGGCATAGATATCGATATCAAGAGCAATAACACTATCAACATACTCAACACCATCACATCGATTTTGATAGCAACGGCAGCAGCAATATCGACATCGATACCGATATGAGTATCAACGTGAATGTAAACATCAATACCAACATCTACAACATCATCAATACCGACATCGACGTCGACATCAACATCGACATCGCCATCTATGCCAGTGTCAATACCAACATCCTCAGCATCACTAATATCGAGAACGACGGCAGCAGCAACGACAACATCAACATCCTCAACATCTTCTTTGCCATCAATATCGACAGCAACAGTAACGTCGATATCGATATCCGTAATAATATCAATATAAGTAGCAATATCAACATCATCAACATCGACGTTGACATTGATATCAAAAACAACGTCCATATCGATGGCAACATTAACATCGAAAACGACACTATCATCATCTGTACTGGTATCAACATGCCCGATATTATTAATACGCGCATCGTCATCGTCATCCACGTAGACATTGACGTCAGCTACAAAAGCATATCGAGGGCACCATTGACATCGACAAAGATATCGATATAAATATAAACATTTATATCAATTTCAACATCATGTATATCGGCACCGATATCTGCAATAGCAGCAACAGCACATCCTCCACACCCGCTATTTCCTCGACATCACCGACATAAGCCGGCATCATCGACATTCGCGACATTCGCGAAAACCCCCACATCCTCGACATACACGACACACTCGATATCCTCGACATCCTTGGCATCCGCGACGTCCGCGACACCCGCGACATCCGCGACACCCGCGACATCCGCGACACCTTCGACATCCGCGGCCGCCGCGACATCATCGGCATCTTCGGTACCCTCGACATCACCAGCACTATAGGAATCCGCAGCATCAGCGGCATCCTCGACGTCCGGGCAACAACAACAACAACAGAAACATCCTCGTCATTCTCAACGGCCTGGACATTCAGAACATCATCAACATTGACATTGACTGCAGCAGCAGCATCATCATCGACATCGTCATCAATATTGATATCAATGTGAATATAAGTATCAATACCAGCGTCCTCAACGTCTCCTATATCGACATCGTCATGGACACCAACGCCGACAACCCCATCGATGTGAGTATCACAATCAACATCCTCAACATCATTAATATCGAGAATGGCAGTTACAGTAACAGCAACAGCAACATCCTCATCATCCTCTATACCATCGATATCGACAGCAACAGTAACGTCAATATCGATATCAGCATTAATATTCATATAAGCAGCAATATCATCACCATCCACATCGACGTTGACATTGATATCTATAACAACATCAATATCGGTGGCAATATTGACATCGACTTCGACACTAACATCATCAATATCTTCAACAACATCCCCAATATTATCAATACCCACATCGTCATCGTAATTGACGTAGACATTGCAACACGTACAACAGCATATCGACAGCAAGATTGACATCGACAAAGATATCGATATAAATAGGAACATCTATATCAATATCAACAACTCGAATGTCGACACCGATATCTGCAATAACAGCAACTGCACATCCTCGACACTAGTGATATCCTCGACACCCCCGACATCCGCGACATCACCGATATCCTCGAAAACGGCGACATCCTTGACATCCGCGACATCCTTGGCATCCGCGACAACATTGACTTCCGCGACATCACCACATCCACGGCATCCTCGACGTCCTCGACAACACCGACATCATCTGCACCTTTGTCACCAGTGACCTCCTTGAATCGACATCTTCGACATCCGCGACATCCTTGGCATCCGCGACAACATTGACATCCGCGACATCACCACATCCACGACATCCTCGACGTCCTCGACAACACCGACATCATCTGCACCTTTGTCACCAGTGACCTCCTTGATATACGCGACGTCCACGACTACCTTGACAATCGCGACATACTTGACAACCGCGGCATCCTCGACATGAGCGATATCCCCGTCATTCTCGACATCCTCGACATTCTCTACAACCGCGACATCCGCGAAACCGCCGACATACTCTGCATCGACGACAACCTTGACATCACCGTCTTCAGCAGCATCCTCGGCATCCTGGACTTTCGCGACATAACCGACATCCTCGACATCGCCGTCATTCGCGACCACCTTGACATTTCCGACATCCAAGTCATCCTTGACATACTTGATATCCGCGAAACCTTCGAAATCCGTAACATCAGCGGCATCCGCGAAATCCACGTCATACTCAAGACCCTCGCCATCGGCGACATCACCGACAACCTCATCGTCCACGGCGTCCGCGTCAACATTGTCGTCACCGACATCCTAGACATATTTGACGTCCTTGAAATTCGTAAAATACGCGACCTCCTCGACATGAACGACAACCCCGATATCTGCGACATCATTAAAATCCTCGACTTCCTCGAAATTCGCGGCGTCTTCGACATCACCGACTTCCGCGACATCCTTGACATCACCGACACCCTATACATTCGCGTCATCCGAGACACCCCCGAAATCCGCGACATCACCGGCGTCCGCGACATGCTTGACATCCGCGACGCCCTCGACATCCGCGACTTCATCGACATCAGAGGCAACATCAACAACGGCATAAACATCCTCGACATTCTCAACGGTCTCAACATTCTCGTCATAATCAATATAGAAATCGACAGCAATAGTAACCGCTACAACGACATCGACATCGACAGCAACAGCGACACCGACATCGACATCGATACTTATATCACTATCAATTATGGGCATATATATCGATATCAACAACATCATCATCAGCAATATCGACATAAATGTTCCCAATAATATCAATAATAGCATCGTCGTCGACATCGCCAACGATATTAACATCAGCATGAACAGCAACGGCAACAGAGAAATCAAGGACAACGTCGATATCGATATTAATATAAATGTGAACATAAATAATAACAAAACAATATATCTAGGATACCTTTAGAGCTCTCATGGGAGAGCTTTAGGAGAGAATTTAACAGAATTTATGCATAATCGATCAGTGAGTGGCTTAGGCATATTTTGGTGTTGAAAGTCGAAGTCAATACGTGAGTGTTGGTCGAGACCGTCATCAGAATAACAATGAACTTTTAGTTATACTTTACTCCCAGTTTCATTCAGCTCTAGGTAAATTCACATATAAGCTATTTGTACTCGAAAGGCGAATCTCAGTCGACAGTTAACCAGTTAGCCATGATAGACGTGTATTCTCGTCACGGAGGAGTGGCTGGATTTTGTGTCACGACGAGCAAACTCGTCATACGTAAAGGGTAGTGATCATTGACTATTCAATTTGTAACATTTGTGAAAAATAAAACATATTCTAAAATTGGAAGACGTTTAGAATACCTTGAGGCTGTGCCGGAAAAGGACAAGCAAATAGAAAATATGAATAGTTAGTGATGAACTCACGCGTTCCCATATGCACCGGCTGAAACAGCTTATCAGTTCGCATAACGAATTTATTTATGCGCGATGAAAACGTATTTTATATGTAAGCGTAAAGGGGGCAAAGGCAAAGGCTGGAAAGCTGATTTATGATAGGGTTCCTTCAGGGATGGTCCGATACGGGAAAAATGTGTGACGCTGACCAGGCACTGATCCCATTGATGGCTACTGGCCCGAAGTTGCCAAGCTATTTTTTGGCGGTCACTAAAATTCTTGGGTATCCATAAAAACTAACCAAATATGGAATAGAAGTTAACCATGTAAGTAAATATTAGTAATAAAATAGTCAATTTTAAAAGTAAACTCATCTTTTTGATCCAATACTTTAA